TTTCATAAGAGTCCATTGTAAAAGTTTCAAAATTTACTCTAAATTAGGGGTTAGCAACCTTTTTCTGCAAAAGTTCAAAGAGTAAATATTTTGAAATATTCTTTTTTTCCTACAACCCTTTAAAAATGTAAAAACCAAATTGAAAGCAAGAACTTGAACAGACATTTGTACATGCATGTACATTGGCGCATTATCCACATTAGGCAAAGGGTAGAAACAACATGGTGTCCATCAACAGATGAGTGGATAAACAAAATGTAGTATACACATATAATGGAATATTATTCAAGCTTACAAAGGAATGAAATTCTGATATATGCTACAACATGGTTGAAATTTCAAAACATTAAGCTAAGTAAAATAAGCCAGACATGAAAGGACAAATATATATAAATAACTTACCAAGAGTAGCCAAATTCATAGAGACAGAAAGTAGAACAATGGTTACCAATGGCTGGGGGCAGGGAATAATGGGGACTTGTTATTTAATGAGTATGAAATTTCTGTTTGAGGTAATAAAAAATTCTGGCGATGGATGGTGGTGACAGTTGCACTCCAAAGTGAACATCCTTAATGCCACTAAATTATACACTTAAAATGATTAAAATGGTAAATTTTGTGTCATGTATATTTTACCACAATAAAAAAAGAAATGTCGAAACCATTCTTAGCTCATGGGCCACACAGAAACAGACTGCAGACCAGAATTGGCTTGTAGGCTGTAGTTTGCCGATCCCTGCTCTGAATCATAAGACACACTAAACAAAATGAACAAAATGGTATGAAATACTCAGAAAACTTTCTAAGTCATTGTAATTCACTTTTATTTGAACATGAACATATTAAACAGATTTTCATATTTAAGGTTTATTAAATTTGCAAAAATGTATAAATGCAACTATAGTATTTATAGACCAAAAAATACTTGAGAGAAGTCTCCTTAAGATGAGGTAGAATGGGCAGGGCACAGTAGCTCACCCCTGTAATCCTAGCTCTCTGGGAGGCCTAGGCGGGAGGATCGCTTAAGGTTAGGAGTTCAAAAGCAGCCTGAGCAAGAGTGAGACCCTGTCTCTACTAAAAATAGAAATAAATTAATTGGCCAACTAAAAATATATTTAAAAATTTAGCCAGGCATGGTGGTGCATGCCTGTAGTCCCAGCTACTTGAAAGGCTGAGGCAGGAGGATCACCTGAGCCCAGGAGTTGGAGGTTGCTGTGAGCTAGGCTGATGCCACAGCACCCTAGCCCAGGCAACAGAGTGAGACTCTGTCTCAAAAAAAAAAAAAAGATGAGGTAGAATATATATAAAGACATATAAAGATATGAGGATACTTATCAAGTATCTCCAGTTTTATCTGTTACAGACAGAGGGCTAGGGTAGATAGAGATGAATAAGGCATGGTGCCCTCAATGAAGCTTAAAAGGTAGCCTGAAAGGAGATGTGGTAGGTAAAGCAGAAATTTGGAAGTGGGCAAAAACACTCAGCTTCCAGGTTCAAATTTGAAAGCTTGACTTTACTATTTGTATCACTTTTATTTTCTTCCCCACTCATTTGGTTCACAATAGACCACTTTCCCTCCTATCTGGGGGTGGGGGAGAAAAAGAAACATTACAAAAGTAAGCATTCTGTGAAGTCCTGCTCACCTCTCTCTCCTGTATTCTTGCAACATTTAAATCTAAAATTCACTTAACTCATTGATTGTTAGAACAATCTCAGACTTTGGTGCCAATATAATCCTAAAAAAAGAAAAACTTAAGGGACTTTAGGCTAAAAGTTTTACTATAGGTAAAAAAAAAAAAAATCACTGTGAGAAATTTCTTTCAGATTAGGTACAGGGCACAAAAAACATTGCTTCAGTTATCTATTCACTGGAAGAGATGTATTAGCAAACAAATCTAAACTGAGTTAAATAAAACAATGATTATTTTAATCATGCTTATGGATTCTTCAGGTCAGGTCTTAGGACAAGGCAGAGAAGGGATGCTTATGTCCAATCCATGTGCGTAGTGCCTCAGCTGGGAAGACTGGAACAGCTGAGGAGTGACGGGCATGGCTGGGAGCTGGAATCTGCTCACCCACTCACGGGACTGCCACCTGGGGTGGGCTGGGCTGACTCAGGGCCTGGGCCCAGCTGTGACTGTCAACGCAAGTCCCTTCAAGGGACCTCTCTATGGGTCTTGGGCTTTCTCACAGCATGCCAGCCTCAGGTAGTGGGACTACTTATATGATGGCTGAGAGTTCTAAGTTAGTGTTGCAGCAGACAAGGTGGAGCTGCATGGCCTTTTATGACCTAGCCTCAGAAGTCACATACAGTGACTATGGTCACTTTCACCATATTCTGTTGGTCAAATTAGTCACAAGCACACATGGATTTTAGGAGAGGGAACGCAGCCTCTATCTTTTTATGGGAAGAGTATCAAAGAAGGTGCAGCCAGGTTTTATTTTATTTTTTTTTTTTTGAGACAGAGCCTCACTGTGTTGCCTGGGCTAGAGTGCCGGGTGTCAGCCTGGCTCACAGCAACCTCAAACTCCTGGGCTCAAGCAATCCTCCTGCCTCAGCCTCCTGAGTAGCTACCACAGGCATGTGCCACCATGCCCGGCTTAATTTTTTTTCTATATATTTTTAGTTGGTCAATTAATTTCTTTCTATTTTTAGTAGAGATGGGGTCTCTCTCTTGCTCAGGCTGGTTTTGAACTGACCTTGAGCAATCCGCCCGCCTTGGCCTCCCAGAGTGCTAGGATTACAAGCGTGAGCCACTGCACCTGGCAGTAGCCAGGTTTTAAAACCATCATGGTCATATATAGAGAGAGAGAAATGGAGATATATGCCAAAGGGTTAACACTGCCCACCTTCCAAGATCCCTCAAAGTGAATTTAACCCATTATTTTTCTATTTTATTTTATTTTTCAAGAGAGGGTCTTGTTCTGTCACCTGGGCTACAATGCAATGGCATCATCATAGCTCGCTGCACTGTCAAATTCATGGGCTCAAGTGATCCTCCTGTCTCAGCCTCCCGAGTAGCTGAGACAACAGGCACACACCACCACACCCGGCTATTAACCTATTATTTTAGGTGAGATCAATCCAAACTTATCCTCTAAGGATAGCAAAATTCCACCTATATTCATGTGATGCAGTAACAAACAGAAATTTCACTTTATCCATATATTTGCATCAAGGCTGACTAACAGCTTGCTTTTGACCCTACTACCATCTGACAGTTATAACCACTTCTTTTCTAAACACCATCAAGCTCAGATTCACTCTCAGGCTTAGGCATAGTCATATTCAGAAAGAATACAGAGAACATCTATAGCTTGCAAACCAAGTAAATTAGGATCACACCAGCACTATAGTTGCTGACACAGGGGCCATTCCTTATCAGTAACTCCACTTTAGGATGTCATGGGTCAAGAAAAATTTCAGAAATTAAAAATCAAATGGTGGGAAAATAAAGTTACCAACTTTTTATTCTCCAAAGTAAGAATATGTGAAAAACTACTATCATATTAAAAAACAGAATAGACAATTTCAAAATAAAATACAATCCTTACAAATAAATAAACAAAAAACTTATTTCACACACACATACATACAGAGTATCCCTTATTTGAAATGCCTAGGACCAGAAGTGTTTCAGATTTCAGATTTTGGAATACACTTACTGGTTGAACATCCCAAATTCAAAAAGCTCCAATGAGCATTTCCTTCGAGCATAATATCAGTGTTCAAAAAGTTTCAGATTTTGGAACATTCTGAATTTCAGATTTTCAGATTTGGCATGTTCAACTTATATTTTTCTTTTTTCATTTTTCTATTGATCTGAAGAAATGTCACCATAGATGAACCCCAGTTCACAAACTAGGGTGTGAAATCATTTGTGCATTTGACAGTCTAGTGTCTTCTCTCCTTTGCTTTTTTCTAATGGTTCTAGAATTTTAGCTCGCTCCTAGGAACTCACAGTCTAAAAAAGACAAACAAGTAGACAAATATAACACAACATAAGTGCTATAAGAATACTGGCTGGGCATGGTGGCTCATGCCTGTAATCCTAGCACTCTGGGAGGTGGGCGGATCATTTCAGCTCAGGAATTGGAGACCAGCTTGAGCAAGAGCAAGACCCCGTCTCTACTAAAAAAAAAAATAGAAATTAGCTGGACAACTAAAAAATATATATATGTATATATATATATACATATATATATATTATTACATATGTATATATATATATATATATAAAATTAGCCGGGCATGGTGGTGCATGCCTGTAGTCCCAGCTACTTAGGAGGCTGAGGCAGAAGGATCACTTGAGCCCAGGAGTCTGAGGTTGCTGTGAGCTAGGCTGACACCACGGCACTCCAGCCGAGGCAACAGAGTGAGACTCTGTCTCAAAAAAAAAAAAAAAAAAAGAAAGAAAAGAAAAGAAAAGAAAGAAGTTTATATTAAAAAGAAGTCAGGATGTAAAATGGACATGTTAAAGATTGGGAAGACAGCAGCAGAAGTCAAATGCCACTCTTTGGCTAGGACAGATGACACTGGAAAAGATATTCATAATATTCCCTTGATGTCTCTGTGAGAATTCTGCGCTAGGTGTACTCAATATTACAGGCCTTCTTGTCCATATGGCCATTAGGCAGAAATTCTTGGGATGGCAGGTACTGACAAATCAAATGTTTAAATATAATGCCCTTTGGAGTCAGAGAAATTAAGGTTAGCATCCCAGCACTACCACTAACCAGCTCAGTGAGCTTGGGCAAATTCCTTAACTACTTGAAACCTTTTCATCCATTAAATAGAAAACTGCCTCCCTCTCTCTCTCAGGGTTATTTTTTGCGGAGAACAACTCATAATATAGTGCCTGTAACTCCGAAAATCACAGCAACCGACAGAAAACTGGGCCGACGTTTCCCATTCTCTGTCTTATTCCAACTGGCTTCCATATCTATTCCTAGAGAGGCCTTCTCTCTTCCAGTTCGACTCTAAAGTAGCTGCCCCTTACCCAAGCTTTGTTTGAGCTGGAATAGAGTCAGCAGAAGAACGTATCCAGTGTTCCTCAAGTGTCCTCAAACAATTCCTGCAGCTTCCGAATCCTCCTCACGGTCCACTGGACCACCTGGCAGCAGCTACACCTCCTTCCACCCACCTCCTCGTCCTCCTAACCTCGGTACGCAACCCTACAGCCCCGCCCCCGCAAATGACCAATCAGAGAGTGTAAAGCCAGCCGGATGGGGCGGGTCGCGTTTGGCACTGACGACGAATCGCCTGCCTCAGACAGCAGAGGCGGAAGCGGAAAAGAGCTGAAAGTCCTGGTTTGGCCTTGGGTTCCGCCGTAGTGGATGTTCCGTGCGAATGAGCGAAGAAATCTTGAGGCCTGACCTACCAGCAGAATCAGGCGAAGAGACACCGGCGAGGGCGGGAGGGAGGAACCGCGAACCCTAAAGAAAAGAGCAAGCCGGCAGGCAGCTGTAGGGCAGAACCTGGGTCCCCAGAGGCCGGTCCTGGTCGGCGCCGCTGTCGAGGCCATGGTGCAGGCAGAGCTCAGGGCGATCCCCAGGTGAGGGAGCGGCTCCGCCGAAGATTCCACCGCAGAAAAACCGGGTAGATGCTGGGTGGGGAAGAAAGGATGCTACCCACACTGCTTCCCGGTAGCAACCTGAGAAGGCGCAGTTGCAGCAGCAGCAACAGAAAGCACAGCGCCAGCCGAGGCGGCGGCTCGAGCTTTTGGTAAAGTCACCCAACAGCTCTTTCTCAGTAGTATGCTAGTTGACAAAACAGCCAGAAAAGAGGGCTCCCAATTACAATCTCCTTCGAGCTCTTTACCCTTGCTATCCGGAGCTAAAGTGTCCGAAAACATGCCTTGCACTTGTACCTGGAGGAACTGGAGACAGTGGATTCGACCTTTAGCAGTGGTCATCTACCTGGTGTCCATAGTGGTTGCGGTTCCCCTATGCGTGTGGGAATTACAGAAACTGGAGGTAAGAGGGTCCAGCTCCATCAGCCTCTACCCTTTCTTCTACTTACCTAAGGTTGGGAAAGACACACCCTTTCCCCCATTTCTACCCTGGTTACCCAGACTTGGTATCCTGAAAACCATCTATGGAAATGATACATAAGCCCAGTCTTAGGACATAAATACCTGTCTGGTTTCTTGTTCACAGTTCTTCAAAGCATGCTACAGGTGGAGGTGGGGCCAGGTGGAGAAAATAGGACATATTAATATAAGGGCACTGTTTTGCAAGTATTCATCAGTTCTCTGAAAGTAAGGAAATTTTATTCCTGAAATCTGATCTGTTCAGATATTGGACTTAACTAGATCAAATAAACTATCTTGAAAACCATGTATTGAATTTTATTAGCTTTTAACTAGCATCCTGAATTAAAGGATTGTAGTCAGTATAACTTTGTTCTTTGTTTTTACTTTGGAAATAAGCTCTTAACCAACAAAGGTTTTGCAAAAAGTCCCTTGTATAATTTTTGATGTCATATTCTTATTGTGACATCAGTAAAATACCACAAGCTGCAAGACCCCAAGGTAAATATTTAAGATATATACTGTACAAAAACTGTATAATGAACTTTAAATTTGAAGTTAATAAAAACCAGAAAGTACTTTTACTAAGAAACACCTATTTTACAAGACCATGGCTATTTTAGGCCCTTCTTTATTATGGAAATGATTTTTACATAGTTAGACAGAATGTATTTAATATACATTTACCTCCTCTATGTTCCCCAGATTATTTTTTGTTGACTTTCCATACTGGCATAGTCCATATAGTTATTTTCAATGATAATGTAACATTCAGCTACATTAAATATTTCTCATTTGTTAGATATTCAGGTTATTTCTGTAACTTGTCTATCAAAATTCAGGTATAAACATTTTAATACAAATAAGGTTTTCATACTTTGAAGTATTTCCTTGGAGTATGATATAAGAACTACTTTTAAGATTAATAGTATGCATAATATCACCCCAGTTTAAGAATTCTCTTAGTTGTTAGTTTCAACTGTAGTTTTTAAGTGCCACTAGCTTGTAAGAAAAATTTTATTCTGCAATCTCTACTGCAGACACTCGAAACCAGGTTCTCAACCGTCTTGCCTGGACTCTTCTCAGTTTTCCAGCCAGAATAATCAGTTAAAACATAAGTCACATTATGTGTGTCTTCTTCAGTCACTCCTAATGCCAGGGTGAAGGCTGATATTCCTAACTATGACCATCAAGTCCCAACATCATCTGACACCACTCTCACCTGATTCCCCCTCTGACTTTGCTCAAGTCCTAGGCTTCCACCACACTTGGCTGAAACATGCCAGACATGCTACCTCCTTAGAGCCCTTGCACTAAAAGTTCCCCCTTCACAGAATTCCCTTCCCCCAGGTATTATTCTTACTCCTTTACATCCTTCAGGTCTTTACTCAAATGTCACTTGACTGCCCTATTTAAAATTGCAAGTTTCCCCTCCTTAACTCTTCATATTCCCTTCCCTGTTTTATTTTTCTGCATAGCACTTACCATCATCTACCACAATACATATTTTATTCAGTTTTCTTTCCCCCCTTTCTGCCCAAATAACTGATACTTGAATAAATGATCGTGTATACTGTATGGTGAGAGATATAAACATGGCATCTATCTTCATGGAACTTAGTGGTGGAGACAGAGGCAACCAAAATTGTAAAAATAAATGCTATGGAGGGACTAAAAAAAAAACGATCTGAGAAGTTAACAGGCAGGGCAATCTTATTGCACAAGTTCAAAAGACCACTCTACCAGCTATAGAAAATTAAGTGGAAGTGAAGGGAAGTTAGAAAGTTCTTTATGATAGTTGAAAGGTAGTAGATGCCTGAGCTATGATGATTTATGGCCTAGATCAAGATAGCAGAAGTGGAGATGGAAAACTGAATTTTAAGTATCTTTGGAAGTGAACAAATAGGACTTGGCAATAGATTGGATTGAGGAGGAAAGGCAGTGAGAGAAAGAAATAAATCAAAGAAGATTCTGAGGTTTTTGATTTGAACCACTGGGTAAATGGTGGTGCCAGTTGAGATGGAAAATTGAGCATTAGGGACAGGTTTGAGAGAAATCAAGGTCATTTATGGATATTTAGTTTAATCAGAGACATTCAAATGGGCATGCCAAATATGCAGTTGGAAATGCAAGTCTAGAGCTCAGAAAAGTTTGAGCTGCAGGTATAAATGTGGGAATTTATTATAGTCTTTGGTGTTTTCTTATTGCAGCTTGTACAGACTCAGTGGCTTAACAACCAAAATTTATTATCTCACTGGTTTTGTGTGTGTGTGTGTGTATGTGTGTGTTTTAGCATATTATGAGGGTACAAGTGTTAAGGTTATGTATATTGTCCATGTCCCCCCACCTCAGTCTCACTGTTTTGAAAGCTCATCCCTTGCACATGGGGTATATACTCATTTGTTAGAATGGCAGGATGACCATCTTCACTATATAAACTATTTCTCTCACTCTCTTGGCTGAGCATGTAAAATTGAAGTCAAGTAGGTTAAATGCACACATGATGGCACACTGCTCTGTAGTCTTTTCACCTTGTCCCACTCATCCTTATGCCCCAAGTAGCTATTCTGTCAGTTCTGCTCTCTCCCCTCAGGAAGGTTGGGTCCAGAAAGCACCCTCTGCTGTTAGTCTCCCCTTGCTGTTTTGAAGCATTTGGCTAAGGGAGAGTTAACTTACTCCCAGATGCTTGTCTTTAGGGTTTTTTCTTTCCTCTCTTTCCTCAAATTACCTTAGGAAAAAATCTATTTATCTCTTCCTCCTCATTTTGTGAGCCAAAAAAACTCAACTCATGGCTGATAAGTTTAAGAATAAGGTTAATGGGCCGGGCGCTGTGGCTCACGCCTGTAATCCTAGCTCTTGGGAGGCCGAGGCGGGCGGATTGCTCAAGGTCAAGAGTTCAAAACCAGCCTGAGCAAGAGCGAGACCCCGTCTCTACTACAAATAGAAAGAAATTAATTGGCCAACTGATATATATATAAAAAATTAGCCGGGCATGGTGGTGCATGCCTGTAGTCCCAGCTACCCGGGAGGCTGAGGCAGAAGGATCACTCGAGCCCAGGAGTTTGAGGTTGCTGTGAGCTAGGCTGACGCCACGGCACTCACTCTAGCCTGGGCAACAAAGCGAGACTCTGTCTCAAAAAAAAAAAAAGAATAAGGTTAATGGTATCTTTATATCAGCGTGTCTCAAATTTGAGTAAATTATCTAGAGATAAAGATAAAATTAAAGCAAATGTAATAATATCTACAGATACCTAGTGTTGAGTTACTCTATTATATTGTTACTTAAATATGTACACACATAAAATAGGTTAAATTTCCTATGCACACAGCTTTCTATGTAGCTCAAAAATCAATTATTAAAACCAATAATTAAACATAATGACATTAATATGGAGAGATGATGTTTTTCTGAAACTAAATTATACTTGCAGTGCAAAAATAATACTCTATGATACAGGATTTCTTTAATTGGCATGACTATACTATTATATAATGACTTAATTCTCTGGTCACTTGTTTATTGTTTAAAATAGAACTTTCTTCTTTACAGCACACTGAGGACGCTTAATCTTCATTAGTCATAATCACATCATTTTTCTCTTAAGTCTACCACCAGGTTCTACTTTTTGGAACTAAAGCAAGCATAAAAACCAATGTGGATGTTAAAATGACTTGGCAATACTATTCTTAATGCTCGCCTTATAATAGAGAAGATCTAGAATATGCTTATGCCATTATTATTTTCTTAGATCATTCTTGAAATTTTGCTATCCGTGGTTTCAGTCACCTGTGGTCCACCATGGCCCAAAAATATTAAATGGAAAATTCCAGAAGTAAATAATTCACAAATTTTAAATAACTTTTATTATGGTATATGTTATAATTGATCTATTTTATTATTGTTAATTTCTTACTGTGCCTAATTTATAAATTAAACTTTATAAGTATGTATATATATGGAAAAAATAGAGTAATACATATATAAACTTAAGAACTATCCCTACTTTTAGGCAGTCACGAGGGTGGGGGGAGATCTTAGAACACATCCCCTGAGGATAAGTGGGGACTGCTGTACTTAATTTTAAATGAAATTAAGCAAAGCAAAAAGCCCTAGAAAATGA